CCAATCATAGGAAGTGGGAATAGACATTATACGATTAAGGAACAAGGAAAGTAGGGAGCCGCCGACAAGTTTTTAAGGAACTTGTAAATCGTTTACCGATCATTTAAGGAAACCACGATAAAGGGACAACGATAGGCAACAATGAATGACTCGTGAAGGTTACACCCCATTCATAATCCATGAGATTACTAACTCCATATGGTTTGGAACCACGAAAGGAGGATCGGGGATGATGGTACGAAGTGAGTCATGGAGTCACATTCGCCCGTATAAGCCTCTACTCGATTCTTATTGTGAAAAGTAATTCCTGCGATCTCAAAGGCATACAAACAAAGATTCAATTCGCTCTAAACAAAATTAGGCTAAATTGGTTGAATATTAATGCAACAAATAATTCTAAAATATTAGTGATTACTTTTTTCAACAACAAGATTAAAAAGAAACCTAAACCGGTTGTCCGAATTATCTATTAGTCGTGATATTCAATTACATATTCTCTTTAACATGCAATACGGTGATCAATAAATGTAATACAATAAACATCAACATTGGAAGCAATTTAACCATAACAACAGCAGTTAATATAAGACAAAAACCGTTAGAAATATAATAGGAACAAAAGGAACATGATTCCTTACTTTGATTGCTTTTACTTGCAACTATAAAACAATAAACGCGTTAGTAACTTCAAGGAAAATAATAAACAATAATGGAAATTAAATCAAATAAAAGTAAAGTTGATTTGGGGCCAAACCCTCAAACAATTCTACCTTTCACGCCTTGGTTTAAGTATAGAACTTCAGGTAAAGTCCTAAGGAATCCGGAAAGTGCTTAGGGGATGTATTGTGAAAGAATAAGGGAGGCAAGTTTTTAGGCTGGAGCATAAGAGAGAGAGAGAGAGAACTATTTGGTGCCCCGAAATTGAGAAATCAGTCTCTTATTTTTAGAGGAAATGAGAGGGGCGAGGTCTGGAACATTAGAAATGAAGCGTCGCAAAAAAATTAAAGCTAGGAATTGTCGTGTCACGACAGAAATTGCCGTGACATGGAAGCAACCGCCGCGGCATGGCAGAATTGTCGTGGCGTGGCAGATGTTGCCGTGGCGCGACGTTTTAGTTTTCTGGAATTTCGTCTAAGTTCATTTTTTTCTTTATATTTTGCATTATGTACAAGATAATTTAAGCGTCGTTTCAGAGTTCCGGATTTATTTCAGATTTAGGGTTTTAATATTCATTAATCGGGCTTAATTAACAAATGAAATGAAATGTATTAAAAGGCTTTGGGCTGAAATGAGGGTTAGACTATGCTTGAATAAACATTTGGGCTAAAAATGTGGACTGACTTGTTGACTGTGTTTGATTGAATATGGATTTTAAGCACTCTTGAGATTAAATACTTGACCCAACCAATAATTGCGGTGAAAGGTTGTTCATCATCGGGTTTGGTTTAGGGGAGACATTTTTAGGTGTCTACAATTACTAATTCACCCCCAGCTGTACTTAACTGTACTTTCTGTGATCGACAATGAATCTCTCCATTATACTTGCTTAACCAATCCATTCCCAAGATGATATTGAAGTCGCTTAACCCAAATTCGATAAGATCAGACAAAAACACTTTTCCCTTGGTCTCTAAATGGTACATCCTTAAAAAATTTGGTACACTGCACTATCCCTCCCGTAGGAAATAACTATAGGTACATTTATAACATATACGGTTTTCAAACAGTGCGATAGTTTTGAAACAATGGCTTTTGAAATAAAAGAAAAATTTGCACCAGAATCAAAACAGGAATAGAGTTAATAGAGAAAGTACCAGTAATAACGTCCTTCGTGGTATCAGCTTCATACCCACTTATCACTTTCAGTTTTCCCTGGAGCTCCACTTTTCACCTGACTATTCCCATTAATTATTGCTTTTCACCCCCCATTTTGTTGTGGACCTTTGTTTCCTGCATAGTTGTTGCTTCCTGAAAGTTCCTTTGATCTCCTCCTTGATTGTTGCCCTGCTTGTTTCGATTAGGATCCTTGGAGAAGCACTCATATTCCTATGGCCCAACTTGCTGCAAGCACGACAAGTAACCAAGTTACCGTCGCAGTCTTATCTACCAGGGTGATCATTCCTATACCTTTTACAGTAATAATGCCTTTTTCCTTTGTTATTTTCTTGGTTAGAGTTATTAGCTCCTCCATTAAAGTTTTACCCACTCGGACGATTGTTACCATGGAAGTTATTGTAGCTGTTGAAGTTGTTGTTGTTGTGGTTGTATTTCTGCTTCTTAAAATTGTTCTGGTTACCTTGATGGTTCCTAGAGCTCTGTCCTATCTCCTTTCTCTTTTTCTTTCCTTCCGCCTCAACTAACTCCTTTTATTCTTCAACTCTAAATCATAGAGGTGTACAGACCTTCCATATACTTCATCCAAAGTTTCAAACACTTGTCCACACAGTTTCAGTTGGAGATTAGTAGTCAACCCACTCTCGAACTTCGTAGCTTTCTCTTAGCTTTTTCTGTAGAAACAGATTCTTTAGCAAACCTTGACAGCTCCATAAAATTGGTATAATACTCAGTTACTAACATCTCTCCCATTTCTAAGTTAGAAAATTCTTCAGCTTTTTGTTTTTGTAGGAAATTGGGGTAAAACTTATCCCTCACCTTTTCTTGAACATAGTCCAATTAAAACCAGGTAGTGCCTTAATGGTAGCTTCATTTTGTTACCACAAAGGTCAGCTTCACCCTAAGGTATTAGGTATCACAGCCTACTTAAGAATTTTCTGGGCACCATACTGCCCCAAACAGTTTCTCAAACTCCCTTAACAGTTTTCTAACACAGTTGAGTCTGGTTCTCCTTGATAGGTTGGTGGCTTACTTTGTGCCACCTTTTTGAACTGCTCCCCCTAAGTATCCCCATTGTTGATCGTGCTAACTGTTGTGCAACCACGGCCAACTTCCATACCACTTCACTTAGTTTATTTCCTCCATCGTTATTATTTCCACTACCTCATGCCATCTTCCTTCTCCTGAATTAAAACAAGGGGTCTTTGTTTATTATGGTCATGGTTAGCTTGCCAAGTTAGACACCTATCTGTAGACATCTACTTTTGGTCCCCTGTCCCAACCAAAAGTACTATGACGATAAATAATTTCATCTTTGTGCTGGATTGGAGTAAGGAATGCTTATGAACTCTTAATTAAAGGCCTAAACACATAAAATAGCTAGCTTGACCCAAAAAAAAATGAACTAAAGCTCATTAACACTAAGCCCGATCAAAATTAGGCCTAATCCCGAGATTAAAACCTAATTTTGGACGGTTTTAGAGCGCCTAGGTTAAAATTTAGGGCTACCGCAGGAAAATCACGCGCAAATCAAGAAGTCGGCTTACCTGGCGCGCGCGACTACCTGCGCAAACTTCAGAGATGAGCTTACGAAAGATTCAGAATTTTTAAAATATACTGAATCAAATCTTATCATAGAGCCACGCGCAAGACTAAAGATCGCGCTGCCTAGAGCAGCACAACTCTTTCACTTGTGTGCGCCACCTGCTGCGGCAGAATCTCCGAAACCCTAATCTTACCCATTCCCTATAAATAGAAGTTCAATACGTCAAAGCACACAGAAAAAATAGCCTAAAGGTTCCCCAACAAGAAGGTTTACGTCCATAAACATTCCAAACGAAGATCTAGCAAGGAAAAGTGGTAATTCCCGAGCGCTTAGTTAAATCACATTACTTTTTCTTGCTCTAAATCACTTAAATTAATTAATTAATTAGTGTTGTTTGATCACGTTAAAATAAACATTTAATTAATTAATTTGACATAGTATTCTTTCGTTAAAACAAGACTAGAATTGAACAAATTAATTGATTATTTTAGCACTTAAGCCAAGGCGAATCTTGTTTACTTTTGTTCTTCCACGAATTTTGGACTAGATAAGAATAACGACATTCGTTGTAATGTAATCTTTATGTGATTAACGTGTGTAAATAAAATCAACTAACTTAGTTTTAGGTATTACGTTGCATATATTGTTCGGTGATAAATTTGTGAAAAAGGAAGAGCTAGTAGAGGCTGCACTAGGGCTAAGATAGCAATTCCCCTCTAAAGGGAACGTTATTTTACTACCCTTGCTCCCGAACTCATTTCTGGTACAAGTAGACCTATTTGGGCATGGGTAAACTTATGATTCATGCTAAATATCCCCTGAACTCTACTTGGGAGAAAGGCATGAACGAGGTTTATGAGTTTTCCTAAAACTCATTGGCAACTCTTTATTAGTTTCTTACAAAAAAGCGTAATGATAGAATCAATTCTAATTCAAGGTCCTCCAAACAATCAAGAATTCAAATCATAACACACCTTCAAAAGTGTAAAGTCCTAGTCTTTTAAAGGGCCATGGCATAGAGGAAGTGGGATCCCCAACAACGAGCTACCCTCCTCACACCAATCATACTTACATATTTAATTTAAGCTACTAGGTTGAGGTTGCAAAAGTTACAACTCCCAAATTTTGCAGCTTGATCAACACATTTTTTATTGCTAACCAACCATACATTTAATAAAGCATCACAATAATAAATAAAAATAATTCTCATGGTTTACCAGAGTTTGGAAATGATTTATTGGAACATTTGAGTAAGAAATGGCTCATTGAAGTAGTGATATGAAATGAATGATCTGATAACAAAATGAATTATTTGGTAGTGAAATGGATCATTTGGCAAGGAAATGAATATAAATATTATTTATGAATCACTAGTAGAAAAAAGCAAATGGGAAGCGGTTCAAAACCCTAATGGGAAGTGGATTTTGAACCGCTTGGGCTTAGGGGCATCCCAATACCCTTTTAAATGGGAAGCGGTTCAATCCGCTTCCCATTTGAAGGGAATGGGAAGCGGTTTATGCCTTAGCTGCTACCCATTATACCTTTAAAAAAATTAAAAAAAAATAATGTTTTTTTTTTTTTTTTGCTTTTTTCATAAAAATTGGTACACAAAAAAAACATATGTATAAAAATATATATTTCCATTAATAAGTTGTTGTAATATTACATTTATAATTTGTCAAAAAAAAATTACATTTATAATTCAAAAAAAAAAATACTACTAAAGCCACCACCACGCATCTGCTATTCAGCCACCACCACACATCTGAAGCCACCACCCATCTGACGCCACCAACGCATCTGACACAGAATTGAAACAAATCTCAACAAATTTACTCATTATGCAAATAAACTGAAGTAGAATTGAAACAAATTCATTATCCCATCAACTAATTTACGAACCCTAACCAAATTTCAACTAAAAAATTTGCAAATAAACCATAAATCTAACCGAGGCAAAGCAATCAAACATAAAATTAGAAGATAAATTTTAGAAAAAAAAAAAATTAAACTAGATCTGAATTCTTACCTGAATTAAAATTAGATATGAAAACGCTGGTGGTGCTCGATGGGCGTCGTCGGTGTTGTTGTTGTTGGTGTGCCGCTGTTGCTTGATGGGTTGCTCGATGTTGCTCGGTGGTTGTTGCTCGGTGGGTTGCTCGTTATTGCTTGGTAGTGCTCGTTGTTGCTCGATGTTGCTCAGTGTTGGTCGCTGTGTTGATGGGGTGTTGATCGCTATGTTAATGGGGTGGTTGTCGGTGGTTGTTTTGGCCGATGAAAAGAGAAGAGAGAAAAGAAAGGAGATAAAGAGAGGAGAAGGAGATGGAGAGAGGAGAAGAGAGAGCAGAGATAGAAGGAGATGGAGAGAGGAGAGGAGACAGGCGAAAGGTGTGAGAAATAAGGGGAGAGAAGAAGAAGAAGGCGTGAGAAATGAGGGGAAACTATTATTGTTAGGGTTTTTTTGGCAAATGGGGAGCGGTTCAATGTTCAAACCGCTTCTAATTACAATATTTGGGAGCGGTTTACCCATAACCGCTCCCCATTTGTATGTTTCAAGTTTTTTTTTTTTTGTTGGTTTTTGGAAGAGGAATTCAATAACCGCTTCTCATTTGGGGCAGCTCATTTGCTTTTTTCTACTAGTGAATAAAGGAATGACTGGAAAATAAAATGAATTCAAATAACCTACGCAAATTAATAGGTTTATTGACTCATTGTGGCCATGCCACTTATTACTGTACTGGAAAAGAAATAACTATGACTGCGAAAAAGAAACTAGAAATCCTATAAAAAGTGAAACTACAAAAATCTAGTCCTTTCGAACATTATCCTTCTTGTCCTTTGATTGTTTGTAGCTTCCGGGATTGAATTCAGGGTCATCCTCCTCCTCCTCCATTGGTTCAGGTGTCTCTAGATTTTGCTCTACTTGAATAAACTCTTCATTTTCCTCATCGTCAGATGAAATTCAATAATTATTGGGGTTGGGGCTAGATTTGGATTTGAGATTTCCATAATGGAACTGTCAACAGTATAGTCACTCTCCTCCATTAGCTCTCCTTCCTCTTGCCCTCCATTTGCTCCTATTTGATTGCCCTGTGATGGGGATGTTTCCCGATTGGTTTCTTGTAGAAGGGGAATTATTCTCTGCTGGGTTATCATAATAATAATTTTGATGTGGAATCTGTAAGCGTTTCACAGTGATATTTCTCAACTTGAACGAGGTAAGAAATCAAATATCTATAGTTAGGGTACCACTGTCCATAATAGTCTTTTATATTTAGAGTAGTTGGGAATGTCCCCAGGCAAGTAGAATTCAGAAAACTTTATCTTAACAGCAAGATATGGGGTTCATCAGGAAGACAGTGAATTATCATGGTTGAAACACGATTAAGAAGATCATACGGCTTGTCTCCTAGGACATCACTCAGGTGTGAACAATAAAAGCGGATTTTCTTAACACAGTCAAAGGAATGTTCATAGTCTTTCTTAATTAGTGTTCTAATTTGTGAGTTTTTGTTAGGAAAGATCGGCATCATGTAAAGGAAAAGGTTTAGAAAAAGGATTCCCTTCCCAAAGAAAATAAAATTAAATAGCACAATTCTTGCATGAATTTAGGTTCAATGTTCAATCAAACAATCTTACTCCTAATCACATAATTACATGCTTCCACATCATTCAATTCACATGATCAAACATCACAACCTAAATATTAATGCATACAAGAGCATGAATAATTCTAACTTATATGCCCATATTCTTTCCTATCTAAGCTCATAAACATACTTTTAAAACTTTTAACACATAATTCGTACCTTAATCCTTCGCTTTCCTGCAAAATGCACAAACTAAAAATATTTTTTTTTGGCAAAATTAGCCGCAACACTCTGAAGTATGGCTTAGGTGCACGAGCACCCTGAACTTTGTGTAGTAGCCAAAACACCACCAACTATGGTGTTAGGTGCAACGCATGCCATAAATGAAAATTTCCGGCAACTTATTTCACCGGGAGGAGGTGAATCTTCACTCTCTAGAACAGTTATGTAGTCTTCCATCCACTTAGCATGCATGGATTCACCTCCTCCGATGAAATAAGTGGCCGGAAATTTTCATTTAAGGCACACGTCGCACCTAACACCATAGTCGGTGGTGTTTGGCTACTACGCATAGTTCAGGGTGCTCAATGCACCTAAGCCATACTTTAGGGTGTTGCGGCCAATTTTGCCTTTTTTTTTTACTCCCTTTTTATTTAAAAGTTTTCAAAAAATTAACCCAAATAAGGCCAAAAATTTTCGGCCATAATAATAAAAAATTTCGGACACCCCATATAAAAAAAAAATTCCGATTTTTCCCTAAAAAAAATTTCGGACCTTCCCTCTAAAAAAGATTCGGTCCTCTTAAAAAAAATAAAATAAAACAAATTACTTTTTAAAATAACTCATTAAATAAACAATTGGCCAAGTTTTAAACAAAATACCTTAAAACACGTTTTTTTGCTTTAGCGGTAATAAAAATCTACAAAGCTCCTAGATACCACTTTGTAACACCCTAGAAATTCCTTTCCTTTAAAATACCGCTTTTGCCCTTTTTAAAATACGAATTAGGAAATTCTAAGACATTACCGCCACCGTGAAAATGGCTAAGGCAATTATCAAAGACACACAGCGGAAGACTTGTTTTAAAACCATTCAAAATAAAACCAACTTCAGAAATCAACCAAACGAAAGTAAAGTCAAACCAAAGTGAAACAAAGTCAACCTACAACATGGAACCATTGTAGGCCCTTTTAAAACCAAACAAATACTTAAAACCATTGCGTTGGTCTCACAAGAAAATATATATAATAATCAAAGAAAATAAACACATCATATCCTTATAGGAACTAAACAAGATTCGCTCTTCACTCATGCCTATCATGAATATGCTTCATCGCCTGAAAAGCTTCTCTTTACTTTGTCCCCACTACTCGCCATTAGAAATGGGTCGTCGTAGGGCCAAGATAAAGACAAGGCCAAACAAACATACAAACACAAAATCAGCAATGCTGAGTACATAAGCGTAAACGAATTACACTAACATACTTACATCCTAGCATCACACAACTTACCTTTTTACACCTGTTTACAAGCATACATCATACAACACAATCAATGAACAATTAAATTTCTTATTTAATTTGATTACGCATCGAACAGGTTTCCCACCAAATCCTATGCCCTAAATAAATTGAGGTAAACTACTCCGAGAGCTAACCGGGTAGGCATAAATGTCATATGAAGTGACTGGACACCCTGCGCATAAAATAAAAAGGAAAACACAGTGTCCTATACTCCCAATAGAATTTATGATCAAATATAAAGTTACATAACTCCCCCCATATGTTCATACTCAAGGTATATACGTTCCAAGAGTTTTGGTGCACAATCTTTTTCACTTTTTGTTATTACATATTTTTAAACTTGGTGATGACTCTTAATCCACAATACGATCAATCAACATAAACCATTCAAGTAATCAAACATTCCAATTTAATTCTTAAATAATTAGTGATCACATTTAATTTAATGTTGAACCCTTTTAAAACTACCTCGGTGTTAAAACCCCTTAAGAGCATAAAGCACCGCAAATCCTATCCCTCGGTGTTTAGTACACCTTAAGTGCACTTAGGCACCGCATTTCCTTTTATTCCTTTGTACTAAGACACTTGCTAGCTCAATTTCCATGCTTACAGCATTAAAAAAATTATATGAACCATAATAAAATTCCCTTTTTATATTCCAATCCAAATTAAACATTTAGTTTAATCAAATAAGCCTTTAAACATGCCGACAATAAAAGTATGGTTCAATAACAACATTCCAATATCACCGATTTTAATAAATATATTATTTCAACCAATCATGCTTCACCAATATTTTGCCAAAAATCATTCCAATTCAATTAATTCAATCCAAATCACCTATTCCAACAAGTTCCTAACATGATACTAATTTTAGAATCATAATAATAAATCCTGGCATGCTTCTACACGCTTAAATAATATCGAGTACGCGTACGTACCTCGAATATGATCTCAAAATCGCCACGACTACACGAAATCACTCACTTGGAAGTCTCCTACAACCCACAATTTCAAAGAGACATTAATATCTATTCATATTAAATTTCCAGCAATATATACACTCTATAAAACACTTTTAAACCTTTTAAAACATGCTGAAATTTAATTAAAACCATCTACTTTTATTCCCAATTAAAGGGTAATTAAAATTCCTTCAAGAAAACTTTATTCTAGCCTCTATATAAAAATTCCAGCATTATAAAAACTTTTAAACTTGCTGTAATGTAGTTTAAAAACACTAATATTAATAGTTTTAATCAACCACAATTAAATTCCATCAATAAACATCAATTTAGAGACCTAGGGTTTACCAATTTGGGGCTTTTTCATTCAAAACCAAATCTGGAAATTATATGCATATTAATTTTTATTAAAACATCATAAAATAATCACACACACCCAGATTCAATAATTAAACAAGGCTAGATTGAATTAAAATTGGAAGAAGCAAGGTTTTTTTTGGCTTGCGAACGCACACACGGCAAGGGGGCCTGCTGCCACGCCTCTCGCCAGTGGCTGGCTGCTGCCGGTGCTCGCTGGTGGCGGTGGTCGGCCGGTGGGTGGCTGCGGTGGTGGTGGTCGGCCACTGTTAGGTGCGTGTGTGTGAATGTTTGTGAAGGAGAGGGGAAAAATTAAGAGAGAAAAAATAAGAGGAAAGAGAAAGAGAGTTACCTTTGGGTATTCTCCATCTTGGGCAAAGTATAAATTTGCTTATAAGATGGGTATTTATACTCCCTCTCAAAACCCTCCTAACTTAATTTCCCTTTTTACCCTTACACTTTGTTTGGATTGAAGGAAATGGAGGGACAAGAAGGGAAGAGAAATGGAGGGATGAATTATCTTTCATTTGGATAACAAATAAACAAGGAAGGGAATTAGAGGGGAGAGAAACGAAAGGATTAAGATATAAGAAATTAATCTCTCCAACAATGGAGAGATTTGGAAGGAAAACTCATCTTTCTTCCCTCCCCTTCCTTTTTGTTCCCTCCCCCTTACCTCCCTCCCCTTCTTTTCTTTCCCATTTCTTTATCCAAACACACCATTAATGATTCTCATTTCCATTCAAATTGGTATTTGACTTTCTTTAAAATACCATTGACTTTAAAAAATCTTTTATAAATTAAATATGCCCCAAAGTTTCTAGAAATGGGTTTTTAATTAAAGTAACCCTTTTAAATTTTAAAATACCGTAAATAATTCATTTTAAATGATATAAATACATCATAAAAATAATACTTTAAATTAATATACATATAAAAATACGGGGTATTACAGAACCAACGCACAAAAGCCACAAAAGCCCCAATCACACTTGAGATTGATCAAAGGTTAGGGATTGATTTCTTTTGTCTAAGACTATACCATTGACTTTAAAAATTCTTTTATAAATTAAATATGCCCCAAAGTTTCTAGATAATGAAATAAAATATTTCCAAAATCAAATATAAATAGAAATGGGTTTTTAATTAAAATAACCCTTTTAAATTTTAAAATACCATAAATAATTCATTTTAAATTATATAAATACATCATAAAATAATATTTTATATTAATATACGTATAAAAATATGGGGTATTACAGAACCAACGTGCAAAAGCCCCAAAAGCCCCGATCACACTTGATATTGATCAAAGGTTAGGGTT